TGCAAAATTCAGGTGACCAAGGAAGTATTAAGAGAACAGCTCAGTTTGCCAGCTTCTTGTAAACACCATATTGCAAAGAAGGCAAAGGCAAAACACCCCTCTCCACACCTCCCCCAACTGCCTTCCTTCTGGTTTTGTGTTGGGTTTTTTTTTTTCTCTTTCTCTTTCTCTCTCTCTCTCACTTTCTTTTCTTTTTCTTTCTCTTTCTCTCTTTCTCTCCTTCTTTCTTTCTTGCACGGGGGTTCATGAAGAGAATCAAGACTTGTGCATCACAAATGATGGAGCTATCCCCACCCCAGCCAGCTTCCCACCCTACAATAATGCACAAGCCCATCTTATCCTGTACCTGCCCCCGTAAGGTGTTTGTTTGTCTCTTGGTCTTTTGGGAAAATCATGCAGTCAGATCTGCCGGGGAGTTCTGCAGCGCAGGCGCCGGGGTGGCTGGTTCTCCCCCTTTCCTGAGGCTCATAAATGATTGTTTTTGGACAGATAGGCAATAAGAGCCACAGCCACCCCGACGTAGATGCCAGTTCCGATTGTGATGGACAGGACAGCCAGGAAGAGCGCTCGCCGGGAGCTGGAGCTTGCATGGTGGAAGTCCCCCTTGGCTACTGCTTTGTTTGTCTGCAAGATACACAACAAAACAATATATTTATTTGTTTCATCCAGAAAGGAAGATGTGATGCTCATTTCTTGGCTCAGACATGATCCTGGGATATGACAGTAAACTGGTTGGATACCAGGTACTTTTTTAGTTGAATGAGGTTATTTACACAGTAAAGATGAAGATGAGACCGATGGCATGTCAAGAGGTACTTTTAAGTGCCTTTAAGCCTAAACATATCCTAGGATTTAATACTATACATCACAATGACTGCCAAGATGGCTCAGCCTCCCCTGAGAACGTGAACAGATGAATTGTGAGACAAGGGTCTGCCATGTCCCTTCTAGACACAGCTACAATCCTGCTTCTGTGAGTTGGATGGATTCCAGCCTGGCTGGGAAAGATAGCAAGGAAAAAGCCCTTTAAAAGTGCCACTTACACAAAAAACGTTCTTCCAAGTCAGGAGGAATGTTTGATCTGCTCTTACCTGGACAGGTACAACAGAGGCTGAATTCTCCCTTCCATTGCAGTGCTTTTGAGCATACTAACTAGGTGGAAGAACCAGCCCAGGTTCACCACCACAGAGAGGCCAGACACCATGAGTTACCTTGCATCCACCTCATGCATGAGCTTTAGGGTGAGACAAACATCTAGGAAACCAGAGCTAGTAGACAGTCTCTCTGCCTTGATTCAGATGAACGCTTATGCATATGAGCAGGGCAGTTCCCTTGATTAACAGAAGGATGATGCATATGCTTATTGGGGCCACTGGTGGTGGAATCTTAAATGATTGGTTGTTCCTTGGGTGGGGGGGGGGGAATGTGCACTGACTTCTTGTGAAACCATACCTCTCTGCAAGGTCTCCCCCAGGCCCTCTCTGCTCCTCCGGCTCTGTGAGGGTCAAGCCCCTCTCTGCCAGGATGGCCCCACCACTGCGGTGGTCTGAGGCTGCTGGCCCATGACACACTACGAGCCTACAATGAAGTTTATTTCAGGTGCACAGGTAAAGCAGAGACAGATCCTAAAGTCTGTCTCTGAGGGGAGACTTCATCGCTCTCTATAACTACCTGAAGTTGGGGGTGTGTGGAGAAGTGGGGGGTCGGTCTCATCTCCCAAGTCACAGGAGAAGAAGGGGAAGAGCAGACTGAGGGGAGACCTTATTGCTCTGTACAAGTACCTGAAAGGAGGGGGTCGGTTTCTTCTTCCAAGTTACAGATGATAGGACAAGGGGCAATGGCTTCAAGTTGCGCCAGGGGAGGTTTAGATTGGATATTAGGAAACATTTCTTCACGGAAGGGGTTATTAAACGTTGGAATGGGCTGCCCAGGGAAGTGTTTGAGGCACCATCCCTGGAGGTGTTCAACAGACGGGTTGACATGTTCCTCAGGAATATGGTTTAGTGGGTTTTTTGTTGGGGTTTTTTTCATTGCTTTTTTTTTTTTTTAATCAGAGTTAGGTTGATGGTTGGACTAGATGATCTTGAAGGTCCCTTCCAACCTAGATGATTCTATGATTATATTCTATTCTGTCTCTGCAACAGGCTGCTTCGGTGTCTCAGATGGGTGGTAGTTTATAGCTGCCCCCTCAGTCTGGTGCACTGAGGTGACATGGACAGTGTTTTGAGAGCCAACATTTAGAAAAACAGCAGCTGAAATGCCGTATCAACTCCTCATACCCACTGCAGGTTGAGCAGAAGGTACTCTCGCAGGAAGAAGAATCATTCAAGGCAAATGCATCCTCCTGCAAGCTGTTAGCACCAGCGCACCCCATGTGGTCCTTCTTGCTCTTCACCAGCTGCCTCTGCGGCAAAACCAAACCCTGAATCAAACGCTACCTCTGCAGCATTTCCTTCTAATTTCTCCTTCCTTCATCAGAACCTTCCTGACACTGAGGAGCAAAGCCATCTCATCCAGCTCCAGAGGTCCTTGACCAGCAGAAGAACACTTTATTGAAGAACATCAGGTTCTTCTCTGCCCAACTCTCCAGCCTGTCCAGGTCTTGCTGTTACGGCAGCACATCGTGTCAACCACCCCTCCCAGTTTTGTATGGTCAGCAAACTTGCTGAGGGTACATTCCATCCCCTCATGGGATGGTTCCCTGCTCACCCCCCTGGACTCTGCCACGCCACATGCCAGCCCCATGTCTCACGGTGGGTTGCTCCAGCACGTGCAGCTCAGAGGTGCATCCTCAGCTTCCAGCCAGCTGATGCTCTCCGGAGTGCTCTTGCTAGGCAGGTCTTGCCCACAGCCCTGCCCCTGTTTACTGTCCCTTGGGGGGGTCCCTGAAGACATGCAAGCCGGCACTCCCCAGTTCAGGATGCTATTTTTAAGGTTAGGTGCAAAGACCTCGATGGCATTTTTTTAAGGCTACCCATCTGGGAGAGTTTCTTTTAGCTGTGGAACTGGCTTTTCCCTCTCAGGTCAATATTCAGCCTGCTGAATCATCATCAAAAATAAGGTTGAGGCAGACCCCCTCAACCATAAGGTTAGTTTAAAAATGACATTTATTATTATTATTATTATTATTATTATTATTATTAATGTCGGGCATGTATAATGACCTTGGTCTATTTGCTTCCTGATTTTTTTGAACTGCAGGTTAAATTCGGATGGGGGCTGGAAAATATTAGTTCCTCTCTTTTTAAAAGGAAAATCTGAGTTTATTCTTCAATAGCAAAGTTCAGGCTTTGAGAGAAAGAGCTAATTGCCCAGAAATCATGCTGACATAAAGGAAGAGCACGTTACACGTGGCAGTCCGCTTCCTTGGCTGCGTGGTTCTTTGGGCTGATCTGTGTCAGGGACAAAGCCTCAGGAGCCCATGACGAAAGCCAAGTCCTAACTGAAATATGTTAACTTGCCCAAATTCAAGCTCACTGAGCCACCTGCATGTTGCAAAACCTAATGTGTGTGTGCTCACGGGTCTCGCTGCACATCTCGCATGCTGCGAGGGTCTTCACACAGGGGCAAGGTGGTGTGAATCCCAACCATCATTCTCCTTTCTTGTGATGAAACACACCTGAATACACTTAAATCTGAGTTATTTAGCACCTGTATTGGTTGTTGACATGTGGTGCTCAGCCTTGGGGTCTTGGATGGGGCTTATATGGCCCTCAAAGACTCCCAAGGTGGTGGTGGGTAACAGGAACCTGTGCTCCCCAGACTGGTTGTCATCCATGGGCTGTCTGAGACAAGAGCTCTGCTGGCAATGCATGGGGCTTTTGCTGTGAGTTGATGCCTTCCATTGACATGTTGCTCCCAAGGACCTCCAGCCATGCCCCCTACTGCTGCACTGCTTTTACCCCCCAATCTTAGTGCTTATTTCAGATTAAAAACAAACGGGGAAAGGCCCAGATGGAAATCTCTTCACTTAAGTTATTTAAATAATTAGTATTTCCAGTCTTTGTCTTTGCTTGTTAGATAGAGGGTTTCCTAACCTTAGATAAGGGTTTACCTGGCCTTGGACAAGGTTTTCTCTTGAACAAGGTGTTACTACCTTGTGAATTGAGGCAAAGCAAGAACTGGGCTGAGATATATGTTTGAGATAAGTCCAGGCTTAGCATACATGATATTTTTGTCATCCAAGTCTAGCAATACTTCACACTGCCCTCAAAAACAACCAAGAAAGAAACTTCTGCTTCTTCCTGAGTGGGAAGAATAGTTTGAAATGGGACAAATGTAAATCAAAGCCGTCAGAGCCACCCGATTTCCAGGGGGAAGTGAGGTAAGGACCGCAACACACATCCCAGGTTGGTTTATAAAGATATGACATGCTGTTTTGGAGAGCCTGCTGTAAACACGTAGCTGGAAACTCTTTGCACCACCCTGGAAGAATAAGGAGGCAGCAAACTGTGGCCTTGTCCCTCACCTAGCCCAACCCAGATACTGTCCAACGGGGCAAATATAGAGTGGGGGCTCTAATTCACCCCCTCACTCTACTGCCTTGCTTCAAAGAGAAGGGGCCTCCATGGCAGTCGCTAGGAAAAAATGTTGAAGGGGAAGAACCAGAGAATTCACTTTACCTTCATGAGGCAACTTGGCCAAAGACCTGCATTTACTGGGCCCTCAGCTTCAGCGGTGGCTGAGAACTGATGAAGGTGACCGTGAGTACATTGCAGGTCTCCAGGCTTAGTTTGAAGCCCCAACAAATCAAGGCAAAAAAAAGAATTGTCAGTGAGTGCAACAGGCTGTTGGGTCCAGGTACAGTATGGGGTGGTCCATACAGGTACTTCTCCAGGTAGGTGAACTCAGGGTCCTGGGGCAATTTTCACGCAGTCTAACGCTTCACATCCGTCCAAAGAAAGCGTCACACAGAGCATCAGCATCTGTATACCATGTGTTTTAATAAACTGTATAACTAGCAGAAAAATAGTTTTGGATGTGTTTGTCCTCCTCCCCCCCCTGAAATAAAAAAAAAAAAAAAAAACACCAACCTCAAAACCAAAATAGCGCCAACCCCAAAAACAGAAGACAAAAAATGTCCCAGAGCAAAGCTGACACACAATACAGAGTTGGAAAAAGGGGTCTTTGATGACATTCTTGGGTAAAGAAACTATGTTTGTAAAACATAAGGTAGTGAATAATAAATTGCTTATTGTTTTGATCAGTTTCTCTCTCTCTCTCTGTATATATATGTGTAGGCACATATATATCTATGCTGATACAGCCATGGTGGGATGAAATGGTACATCTGTAAGACAAAAAAAATAAAAGGGTGACTGTGGGAAGGAGTAAAGAAGAAAAGAAACGTATCACTTCAGTCAGCGAAGTAAGGACAATGCTCAATTCCTTTACAACGTACCATTACACTGCTTAGCGAGGGACATGCTTGTCTCTCCATGGCTATGCTGTGTCCCTGGTCCACGGATGAGCTGTGAGCTTGTAATCTGAGTGGTCTCCTTCACTGCTCTGTGCATGAGCAGAACCTCAGAAATGTATGAAGCATTCCTTCCCCTGCTTAATTCCCATGCTTTACCATGATTTTTAGTTTAAAATTGATCGGTATTTCAGTTTTGCATCTTTTCCCCCCCCCCAGGTTTCTTGCAGTGACTGCTGTGCAGGTCTCCACGGTAAGGCGGAGGAACCCAGATGAGCAAAACGCCAGAGGAATGTGCCATTATCACGATGTGACTGGATGGAGGAATTCATTTTACAGCGGGTCCCATGCTACTTCGACCTCACACTCGGTCTGCGGAGCCAAGTCATGCAGTAACCTCAGCTGTCTGCATTAGGTGGGCCTGGGGGGGTCACATCTTAATCCAAAAACAAGGATAGGAAAGAAAAAATATTTTTTTTTTAATTCCCTTTTCTCCTTCCGTGGAAACCTACCCACGCAGGAAGAGTAGGCAATACAATTCTACGCTGAGGTCTCTGCTTCACTCTTAGGCAAGTGAGTCCTGCATTCAAAAAAAAGAAAACATATTCTTCCTCCTGTTGTTATATTGCTCTTTCAGAGAACCAGCCACTGTCCATGCTTTCCCAGATCTCAGTGCTGTGCTTACCAGGCAAACTAAGCACGAGCTCATGCTGGCTGCAAAATTCAGGTGACCAAGGAAGTATTAAGAGAACAGCTCAGTTTGCCAGCTTCTTGTAAACACCATATTGCAAAGAAGGCAAAGGCAAAACACCCCTCTCCACACCTCCCCCAACTGCCTTCCTTCTGGTTTTGTGTTGGGTTTTTTTTTTTCTCTTTCTCTTTCTCTCTCTCTCTCACTTTCTTTTCTTTTTCTTTGTTTTTTTTTTTTCTCTTTCTCTCTCTCTCTCTCTCACTTTTTCTTTTTCTTTCTCTCTTTCTCTCCTTCTTTCTTTCTTGCACGGGGGTTCATGAAGAGAATCGAGACTTGTGCATCACAAATGATGGAGCCATCCCCACCCCAGCCAGCTTCCCACCCTACAATAATGCACAAGCCCATCTTATCCTGTACCTGCCCCCGTAAGGTGTTTGTTTGTCTCTTGGTCTTTTGGGAAAATCATGCAGTCAGATCTGCCGGGGAGTTCTGCAGCGCAGGCGCCGGGGTGGCTGGTTCTCCCCCTTTCCTGAGGCTCATAAATGATTGTTTTTGGACAGATAGGCAATAAGAGCCACAGCCACCCCGACGTAGATGCCAGTTCCGATTGTGATGGACAGGACAGCCAGGAAGAGCGCTCGCCGGGAGCTGGAGCTTGCATGGTGGAAGTCCCCCTTGGCTACTGCTTTGTTTGTCTGCAAGATACACAACAAAACAATATATTTATTTGTTTCATCCAGAAAGGAAGATGTGATGCTCATTTCTTGGCTCAGACATGATCCTGGGATATGACAGTAAACTGGTTGGATACCAGGTACTTTTTTAGTTGAATGAGGTTATTTACACAGTAAAGATGAAGATGAGACCGATGGCATGTCAAGAGGTACTTTTAAGTGCCTTTAAGCCTAAACATATCCTAGGATTTAATACTATACATCACAATGACTGCCAAGATGGCTCAGCCTCCCCTGAGAACGTGAACAGATGAATTGTGAGACAAGGGTCTGCCATGTCCCTTCTAGACACAGCTACAATCCTGCTTCTGTGAGTTGGATGGATTCCAGCCTGGCTGGGAAAGATAGCAAGGAAAAAGCCCTTTAAAAGTGCCACTTACACAAAAACGTTCTTCCAAGTCAGGAGGAATGTTTGATCTGCTCTTACCTGGACAGGGACAACAGAGGCTGAATTCTCCCTTCCATTGCAGTGCTTTTGAGCATACTAACTAGGTGGAACAACCACCCCAGGTTCACCACCACAGAGAGGCCAGACACCACGAGTTACCTTGCATCCACCTCATGCATGAGCTTTAGGGTGAGACAAACATCTAGGAAACCAGAGCTAGTAGACAGTCTCTCTGCCTTGATTCAGATGAACGCTTATGCATATGAGCAGGGCAGTTCCCTTGATTAACAGAAGGATGATGCATATGCTTATTGGGGCCACTGGTGGTGGAGCCATGGTCTTCTCTCCTGGGGGTGGTGCATTCAGATGGATGTGTCAGCTGGAGGAGGAGTTTCCATTTTGATGATGTTATACTACTTGAAAGGACACTGTAGAGAGGTTGGTGCTGGTCTCTTCTCACAGGTAATTAATGAAAGAACGAGAGGGAACGGCTTCAAGCTCCAACAGGGTAGGTTTAGACTGAACATTAGGAAAGAATTTTTCACAGAGAGAGTGGTCGGGCATTGGAACAGGCTGCCCAGGGAGGGGGGTGAGTCACCATCCCTGGCTGTGTTTAAGAACCATTTAGATGTGGTGTTGGGGGATATGGTGTAGGGGAGAACTTTGTAGAGTAGGGTTGATGGTTGGACTCGATGATCCCAAGGGTCTCTTCCAACCTACACGATTCTATGATTCTATGATAGGGGCTTTCATGTCTCTTGTTGTGGTTCCCAGTAGCTCAGAAGACCACACCTGCTATGTAGCTTTGAGTACCCAAGCAGGTGCCTTGAATTCCACCTGATCAACTGGAGTTCCCAAAGTTATATGCAAAGCATTTAGGCTTGAGCACAATGAACCTCACAGAGTTACAGCTTGTTAGTATCAGCTGTCAACAATGAACACAGAAAGCAGAATCACAGCTGAGTGGTGACTGTCTCCTGTGATGATCCCACAGTCACAGTGATATCAACAGGATGGCCACTGCAGAAAGTTAGTACTTGAGAAGTATTCAAATGTCAGTTCTTCTAACACACCTTCCAGGCACCTACAAGCTCAGGAGCCAAGACAAAGCAAATTCTTTGCACAAAACAGGCAAAGTAAAGCTAAAATTGGATGAGACTTATCTATCCATTGACAAGGCCACCTAATGCCATTGAAGTGGATCTCAGTCTTGCAGCGTGATAAAAGGAGGATGTAATTTTTATAGACTGTGGTGTGATATCAGCAGGGTCACCTGACAGCCAGTCGCAGGTCTGTCACCTACAAGAAAGGCATATGCTTCTTGTAGAGGCATATGAGCTTCATAAGTTCTGACACAGCCTTTGTTCCCTCATTACAATGAGTGAGGAATTTGTAATGCTTTAATTGTATTTCTCCACAAATGCTCACTTTGCTGGGACACTTTCTACTTCAGTGTCATCTATTGCTCTATTTTTGTCTTTTTTTTTGGTTTTTTTTTGGTTTTTTGGTTTTTTTTTTTCCCTATCTTGCTACTCAGAGCGATTTGCAGAAGCCAAATGACAAGCTTCCACACTGAAAAAAAAAAAAAGGCTTCTGGCCTTTCTGTCAATGACTTTAATGGGAGAACCGTCTCTTCTCATTCATCAACCTAATTTTTTAAGCATAATGCCTTATAAATGTTTCAGGCAGAAACAATGTCGAACAATACATATTAAAAGAGAGAGAGAAGAGGCTGCAGGCAGGAGGAAGATGATCACTTCAAAGCAGCAACATATAAACAACTCCTGGGTTTACTACATATTAAAAGAGAGAGAGAAGAGGCTGCAGGCAGGAGGAAGATGATCACTTCAAAGCAGCAACATATAAGCAACTGGGTTTATGCCTGCTGTCATGTCCTTTAGTTTAGATGGGGAAGGCATCCTACTCACTTTGCAAAGGATGTCCAGCCAGACCTCTCACCTGGTGATCAGGGATTTAATGAGCTTCTTGGCTGGGACCTCCAAACGCTCAAAAGACGAGCCCTTTCTGGAAAAATGCCCGGGGCTTTGGGCATCATGGACACATTTGTTAGGGTTAGGTTGCTTAAAGGTCTTAGTAAGGAAAGCAGAGAAAGCTTTAGAAAGAGTTGGTCGTTCAGGTGTCCTCAAAGACTTATTTTTTTTTCAAGCACCTGCTACCCATCACAGCATTAATTAAAGGCTTGAACAAGGGGGCTCCTACTCACTGAAGTTAGGTCGGATTTGGCAGATGAAGGTAAGCTATCCGAGCTTTTGGATAAACCGAGGTAAATGGTTTCAACCCCAAAACAGAGGGAAAGTTTTAAAATGCTGGAACATTTCAATTTGACATTTCTGAAATGTCGCGTTATGTTATGGAAAATCCTGCCACATTTTGGCTTGACCTCTTTTAAATGAAACTTTGCACAGTTTTCAAAACACTATTTTCTCACTTAAAAATAGATGGAAACTCAAAGGGAAAAGAAACCATTAACCAAAATGTCAAATAATCTGAAAACTTGACAGCATGTCTTGATTGGATTCAATAAAAGAGGTTGGATCTACCCAAAATGATGCGTTGAGCAACCCAAAGGGATTCAGAAGGCTGATCTGTCAAGCCCTAATAGCCTTTTTTCTGATAGGATCTTCAACCTAATGAGAAACTTGCTCACAAAGACCAGCTTTTTTTCTTGATGGGCTCTTTGAGGACAGCCCTGACCTTTGGGAAAGGATTGGACTTATGGTGAAAATCCAGCTTCTTGGTAAATGTTCAGGCCAGTCAAAAACAGATTTCTTGTGTTAGTCATGTGCTGCCATACAGCTGCTGAATTTTTCAGTATTATGATATATGATATGATACAGTTTGATTTTGCTTGGGGAGCAGGCCTCCATTGTCACGGAATTTCTAGTTTCCAACTAGAATTGGCTAATCCAAGTGTGTTTGGGGGGTTTTTGTTGTTTTTTTTTTTTTATAATAATACATATTTAATACATATTTTGTGCCTTAGCAAAATCAAATCTTTCCTATATCAAATTCTGAATGTAGAGTGCATTGGTAAGAGCATAGAGGAAGGACAATCTTATATCCCTCCTTTATTCCACTCAGGAAGGTTTCTATTGAGATGGAGAAATCATCCTCTATGAGTATAAGACTAATCTAAAAGTATTTGCTTATCACTAAGAAAATTCTTTGTTGCTACTCTCTAATTAGCAAAACCTTCCCATTACTCCCCAGTGTCACTATATGTAAATTACAGCATTTCTGCAGGTTTAAGCTAAACAGATCTGGAAAATAGTTACTACACAAAATGGAACTGAGGCCAATTTTAAAAGGTTAGCATCTGGCAACTAATAAGCAGGGTTTGTTTTGTTTTGTTTTGTTTTTTTTTTTAAACAGGAATCAGGTCTTTGGTATCTCTGTGCACTTTGAGGAAGTCCCTTGGCTTTGGTGCCCATCCAACAGCTTATGACCCAGCCCTTTGATGCCTGACACAGAGAAAAGTGACAATCTGTTTGGGGGCTTCCATGCCAGGGATGCCTGTGCTCTGGCAAACTCCATGTGGGAAATGAGGACAAGAAATGTCTTTTGTAGATCAGAGAGCCCAGTCAGACCCAGTCTCACCAGCCTTTCCTTGATGTGGTAGAAAAGGTGAAAATAACAGTCATTAAATCTAAAAAGAGACCAAGATATCTAAAGGCGGATGGCGGTCAGGCCATTCACTTGTCTTTACAGTGTCTGTACCTTGGGTACTGTTATCTGAAAGACAAAAATTGTCTACTTAGGAGGACCAGCTACCTAAGCCCACAACCAAACACCACAGACAGACAAGCAGACACAGCAATTCAAGTTTCCAGAGCCAAAATAGGTACAAATACAGAGAGTGGTAATAGTTGGGGACCCTTCTTGGCAATTGCTGCCAACCACAACTCCAGGACTTCAGGTATCAAGACAAACTCAGTCTTCCTTTTTTGACACGTGATTTTGGGTCACATGATAAATGTTTTCACAATACCACCATCGTTAAAATTCCTCAGAAAAAGAAAAAATACCCATTTTAGCTATAATTTTTTTTTTTAAAAAAGAATGTATTTCAGATAAAAACGTGGAGTAAGGAAAATACCCCATCAAATTTTGGTTAGAAATGAGGTCACATTTATGATGTGCTCATCTGCACACTAGTGCAAGGCAGAATGTGCTAGACTGGGGCTGTCTCCACTTTCCCTGGACAGTCCCATCCTGGATGCCCACAGTGCCCGTGGTGGACATGCTCTTTGCAGCCCTGGGTGCCACAGGTGCCCCAGTCCACACAGAAGCCTTGCCTGGGATGACAAACCCCTGCATCCAGCCAGGTGTTTCTGCTCAGCTAGACATGGGGATGGGGTAACATGCACCATCAGGGCCCTTTACAAGCTCCTAGGGCTGATGTACCAAATGGTACAAAGGCACCTTTTGTCCAGCCATCCATACCCAGCCTGGAAATGGATTTCACAGAATCACAGAATCTTTATGGTTGGAAAGGACCTTTGAGATCCTCGAGGCCAACCATACACACACACACACAAAAAACCCCAAACCA